TTGACCGGTCAAGATGTGACAGCACGGTCCTCGCCGGGCGTCCTTCAAACGGGCAATGAACAAATTCTTGCTGATGATAGCCTAAAGATTGGCTTAGATAGGACTTTTCAGAGGTCATCATTTGTAGAAATACACTATGTTCTCGAATATATATTCTCATTCAGAAACAAATCAATTCAAAAAATGATGATTTGGACGACGCGTGATTGACATCTCACTCAATTGAAACAAAAGCTAACCTCATATGAACGGTCGTTGATCTTCCTCACAGATCCAGTGCCAATAGGTACATCCTTTTCCTAAAAATGTATTTTAAACTATCGCAAGTTTCGAACATTGATTCAGGATATAGCTACAAAATTTAGTTTGGACTGAAAATTTGCAAAATACTTTTAGTACAATTCTGACAAAAATTCTGTTGGAGCGAAAGTGCGAAAAGTTTTAATTTTATTAAATAAATTTAATTATTTTATTTTAGTGTCATAAAAATATCAGTCAATGCCATAAAATGTCACACACGAAAATTATCCTGAAATCTTCCAGAAAAATGCCCATTAAAAATTGGTACCAAACGGGCTATTTGCACTTGTCGAGGAATACTTGAAAAATGCTGTCCATAGGAAGAGTCCAACCGTTCGCATCTATTTATACCTTGTTACAGTTATGAAAGATTTTCGGCGGAGTTTAGTCCAATTTTTATATTCACTTTTTTCAGGATCTAGTCGGAATTCTTATCAAAAGAGTGTAATTTATTTCTTTTAACGACTCTTAATTCTTCTCCGATCACGTCACAGATCTGACTCACGTTATACACCACAGTGTTTCCACTTTTATCCGCCACGACCTTTCCGGCACTTCGTCCTTGCGCATCGTAACACTGGGAAATTCCTGGAGTCTCGGCTGTACAAAAATATTTCTCTGAGCGGCGTCCGAAAAGAGAGCTCACAAATTCGTTATTGTTTTTGGAGACGTCGTGAGCCGAAAGTTGAGCTTCGGTTTTCTTCCCATTTTGGGAGATGGCGTATTGATATGTGCCGGTCTTTTTCGGATCTTCCTAAAATATGTCATTTAATCTTTACACTCATCCAAAAATATTTTTTAACCAAAAATGGGGTTTTTAAAATTCAAGCGGTCATGGAGAGGGAAGGTCCGGGCGAAATTCGTTTTAGTCAAATGGTCGTTTTTGTCCAAAAATGATACTTGTCGTCAAAATTTCAAACATGTTAGCCAAAACTTTCTATGGACAATTTTCGATATAAGAACCAATTACGACCATATTTCCACAAAAAAATTGATTTGTGAAAAAGACTACACTGGAAATTTATGAAGAAAATGGCAGTTTTTCGAAAATATGCAAAAGCATAAAAATAAATAGGAAATATGGAAACCCGAAATTTGAAAATTCAGGCAACCGGGCTCGGATTCGATTTTTTGCCCTTTCCTAACATTTCAATCAAACGTCAATCAAACTACAAACATACCTTATCCTGAAAGCCCACTGTTCCTTGACCTTCGTGGTCACTATGGGACGATGGGTCAACTTTGAAGTTGAACCTGTCGTTCCTTGCCTCGAAATCTGTGTCACTCGCCTCTTTTAAAGAGCCGTGGGCCACTGCCTCGAGGTCATATTTGCCATCGGCTTTCAGAAAGGCATGTTTGCCCTCTTCGTCCGTCTTCGTTTTGATCTGACCGCTGAATAATATCTTTACAGATGGCATTTCTACAGTTTTGTTAAAGCGATTCAGTGAAGGGAATTACAGAGCGAGATTTAAAATTTTTTATTAAAAGGATTATCAGAGAAAAATCCAAAGTGAAATCCTATGAATACACCTCAGTTAACTTTTTCAACTTTTTCGAAGCACTTTTCAACTCATTCCCCATTGGGCAACGATAAGGAATGTATAATATCGATGATCTCATCATCGCTATGAATCATCAATAGGTAATGCAATGATTGACTCATAGGTAGGATGATGTCATCAACCATTGATAGGTTCCCTCCGATTTCGTCGACATGAAAAAGTGCACAAAAAGTGACAAATTTTCCGTAAAAATGACACGATGACTGAAAGTCGCAATTACGATCCTGTAAATCTTTATGGATTTATTTCACACTAAGACTTTTACGACACTTGACTTGATTTTAACAGTTTTAGGACTTCTTGGTTCAAGACTCTCAACTTCATCTTCCTATCTTCAGCCTAAGCCTAAGCTGTCAGCCACAAACAAAACAAACCTATGGCCTTCGAATTGCGCAACGCCACCCTTATCCCCGAACCTCTGCGCTTGAGCTCTTTGTCCGCCGACAATCTCAGCGGCAGCAACGTTTCCATGCGCAGAGGCAAGCAACTGTTTTCGCTCAGTCAAAAGATCCAACACAGCCTTCTCCTTATCACTCGCGTCCAAACCCACCTGAACAGAGACAGTTCGGAATCTAATGCAGATGATTTTAAGATGAAATGTTAGAGATTGAAGCTATAGATTAGAAAAAGCCCGAGAATCTTTGAAAAGAGAATCTTGAAAATCTAATACATTTTACTCGAAATCTTGTAATAGGAATATTATAATAGGATAAGTTTTAACCGGAGAATTAAAATGTTTTTTAATCAAAAACTGCGTGTTCCAAAAATTAATATTGCTTAAAAAATATAATCTGGGTATTCAAAACATTCATAAAATTCAAATTTTTTGACATTTCTTTGCCAAACATTTTTACTAAAATGTGTCACGATAAAATAAAATGGTCAAAGTTTCGACATTTTTAACTTGCATTTTTAACTTACATTTTTAACGTGACATTTCTCAACCTGTATCAGGTAAAAAGAAACAGATATAAATTCACCTGTTGAACCTGCTGCCCTGTTTTGTCGAGCCAGCTCGAGTCCACATTAATGTGTTTGTGCTGCTCATTAATCATCACATGGTTGGGTCTCATTGTTTGTGCTGTCAAAGTGCAGACGCAATATAGTAAGAAGGTCAGACATAGAAAATGAGATCTTTGGTCACCCATCTTGCCCCAAGCGTTTTCAAATCTGAAGAATCAAATGTAAAAATATGTCAAACAAAGATTAAAGTATAAGCTTGAAAGTTATAAACTAATATTCTAAAGTAAAAAATTGAACGCTCTAAATATCAATGCCGCACAATTGTTGGTAACTGAATCCAGAAAATTATTCCAATCCAGAAAATTTATCGTTGCCTATGCGTTTGACCGCGCACTAGTACAAATCTGTTGTGTATCGTCAGTTTCTATTCTATAGGGTTCTGTTTAGCCGTAATAGAGTCTGGTCTAATATGAGTGCAAAGTTTCGATTAGCAGAAAAAATGCCACTTGGACACCACACAATATCAAGACTTCGATCAATTCCATTTTTAGCTAACAGTGTTCATATTGCTAAGCATAAGTTAAGCTTAAGCCCCGAGTAATGGCTAAAATTGAAGCTTAGGTTTAACCTAGCAAAATAATGGTTGCAGCCACTGACTTAATCTACTTCAGCACCTACCTCATAATTAAGTCTATCGGTCTAAACCTAATCAGCATGCCCTTATAAGGATAGTTCTACAAATGCCTTGAATCATACTAAGCCATTCTTCGAAATTTTAACTGAGTTATGGGCGGAAGAGAGTGGATGCCATCCAGGTTCAATATTTCTCTATAAAAAACTATATTGTATGGAATGGAATCAAACATCTTCCCATGTAATTTACATAGCACAGTATAGGACCGCGATATGAGTTAACACTCGATAAACCAAACAAAACAGAATAAATCCGAGAAAAATAAAGTCTATAAAATCTCTGGACTCAATCTGACGAGAAATCAGTGAACACCGAGAAAATGGTTACGCAAAAACAAGAAATGCGCGCACCACATCTACCAATGTTGGAAGGATTTTCTTTTGATCTGCGCAGCAAAGCTGAAGCGGCGAAATCGCCTTTCACTGGTCACAGATAGAAAATCCATCCTTTCTCAACGAAAGTTTCTTTTGAGTTTTCTTCTCAGTCGAGAGAAACAACTGAAAATTATTGAATCATCGCTTCGATGGGCGAAAGCCCTCGGGCATGCGCACCGTTATTACGCATTATGTCTTACGTAGAAAACTCACGTAGAAAACACGCCATAAATCTGGGATGAGACCAATCTATGAAACCACGAGAAGGAAGCAATCCAAAATCTTACAAGGATGAGTAATTTTTAAGTGAAAGGAGAAATGTCCTAAATTAAGGTAAAAAGATAATCGATAACTTGCAATGTGACTAATCACTGGGGCGTCTAATATTATTTATGGAAAGCTCAAACAGAACTCTGGTCACAGAGCTGTTCAATAGCAAACCTGCATAGCGATGGAAGTCTTATAAGCGAAAAATTTAAATTTTCAAATTAAACTTTTCTTTAACAAAACAGAAAACAAGGGAAGGGGGTGCCTCCGGCACCTATGGGAAAGGTGGTAATCTGCTTGATCCTAAATCAGCATGCCCCCAGTGGCTTTGTCGGCGGAATTTCCGAATGGGTTTCCGATTTTTTCAAAAAAAATTTTAATTTCATACCCCTGGGGTACAACGATAATTTTTTGACCCGGATTCGGACTCAAAAACCTTCGAGTGCAAAAAATTAGCTTCGGAAACGCTCTGAAACCCAAAATGCATTCCAGCAGGTTAAAGAAAAGAGAAATAGTGTTTAAAACTTTGGTGAGTCATAACTCTCGATAGAAGCCGAAATGGTTCATAATTCCAAAAAATTTCGCCTAGTCAGCTCGTGAGGAGCAAAATGAGCTATCACGTGCTCTGAAGGGAGTAATGCACGGATTTTTATGATTTTAGCGGACGAAACTCAATTATAATACTATAAAAGATTGCAAATACTGATAGCAACCAGCTATCAAATAATCGTTAAAATGTGCTCAAAAATTGTGATTAGTTTTGAGAGTTGAATTAGTTTGCGCAAAGAAGAGAACATTTCCGTTCTTTTATATCCTTCTCCTCTGTCTCTTAAAACATGTGCCCCATTGGCCTAGTGAATATGGCGTCTGACTTCGACTTTGACAAGAAGTATATCAGAAGGTCGTCGGTTTGAATCCGGCATGGGGCTATCATTTTTATTTTGAGCAGTCCTTCGTATAAATGACGAAAAAGTAAACACTCTGCTGTCAAAATCAATTATGATTTTGAATTTGACGTTTGAAAAGTAAATGTATTACGGGTGTCTGATACAACTTGGTCAAATATAGTGAAAATAACCATACATTTCTAGGTAAATACTGAGAAATTTTATTTTTATGGAGACAGAAATTATGCATAGTGTCTGTGTACCCAGAAAAAATTTCTGGGTATTGCCTTTCAACTCTGGGTATTTGGTATCACAGAATTTGATATGGGCAGAGATTACGGGCCTCCCCATGAGTCTCGATCAACATTCTAGATGGGTAACTTATGGCTAAAATCAGGGCTAAGACCCTGGACTACCGATCGGTATATTGCGTACCGCACCCCGATTCAAGTCTTTTTATCCCAAATTTTAAAATTTTATTGAAAATAAAATATACCGATCGGTAGCCCAGTGTCTTGTCTCAAATTTGAGCCTTAACTCATCCTTCTAGAATGTTCCGGGAAAGTTATGGCCAAAATCGTTGCGGAGGGATTTTGACAGGTCCCGATCCCCCATATGCGCACTTGATATAGATTTCCCCGTCACGAAAAAATAACTACTCTGCCGAGAAAGTCTAGGAGGAAATTGATTTTGGCATTTGGTTTGGATAATGATTGGATTTCTGCGCAATACCGAGGAGAGCAGGTAATAGTAATAAGCTACTTTAATAAGTTATCGTATTCAAACAAATTTGAAAACGCGAATATACAACTTGCATAATGTATCAACACAGCTATCTTCTCCTGTTCCATTCTTCTTTTCATTCTCCTGTGACCGTACTTGATATTGCCGTGGTCGGATATGTAGATTGCGTGAATAGGCGATCTCGTTGGACACGCGTCGATTGCTTACACCAATAAATCAAAGTCGAGTAGTTCCTCTTGAGCAAAATTCGCACGTAGAAATACGAACAGACCGCTATATTCAATGAGAAGAGCCAAACTGCTGTCTGTGCTAAATAGCCAGCCGACGACCGAATTATCTAAAAATGTGTTATTTTCTCGGAATGACAAAACATAGAGTTTGAATAAAATAAAAAATTGAAATTTTATTTCCCAGCCTTCGAGAAACCCTGGCTATAAAAAAATTCGAGGTTTATAATTTAGAGGAATGTGTATGAAAGCTGCGCTAAAAACTTCAGCATCCTGACGGATAAACAGTTTTTTCTTCTGCCTGCTAGGACGAGAGAGCGTTTTCTTGTGGTAAAGGACAATGTGTCTCTCTCCACCTGCCTACAAGCGAAGTTTCCATGGTTGACCACTGTGAATAATTTTTTTTATTGTTTCTCATTGTGCTCTCACACGATTAGGTAAAAATAACGATTCTTCTACAGTAATGCCGTAGTTAGAGTGCAACTTTCATATCACTCAAATGATTGCCTATAGAAACATCTGTTCGGAACCACAGTGAGGGAGCAACCAGAAGTAACAAAAACATTTTCTGGATGAATTTCGAAGAGGGTTGGTATTGGAAAAAACGCCATTTTAAGGGGTGCCTGTCTAATTTTCCCTATATTTTTACGAAGTTTGGGTGATTCGACCGTCCTACCTTTATATTCGGGCTGGAAGGAGAGAAAGCTGCAACGAACTTTTCAGAGACAGAAGTGACATACTTTTCAAGGACACAAACGTCCGATTAGTAAACGAGAATCAATATTTTCAGGACATCGCCACCCGAAATCATAGACAGAATTGAAAATTTGTAACTCACCAGAGGAAATATTTGACCGATTGCGGCAGGTAAGAAATTCAGTGACACATCCATGATGATGGTAATTCTCACCAATCGATTGTTCTAAAAAATAACAGATCACATCTGTACAGGTTTGACAACACAAGAAATAAGTTACATGTTTATGGGCCGTAATTGTGGCTCTTAAGAGAATGACAAAATAACAGCCCACTAAAACGTTGATTCCACCAAAAGTGAGTCTGATGATGGCAGGAATGGTGTTACGATACTTTGTTGCGATGCAGTTGAAGGTTTGGCAGTTGCGAACTGAAAAAAAAGTTTAGTAGTTAAGGTTTTCATGTAGTGAGTTTTCGTAAAAACTGGTACTTTTAAAAAATATACGTCAATTCAAAATTTCCATACAAAGACGTTTATGGACAAATAATGGCGAACATAGGCCTCTTCCTCAAAGAGTACTTTTAGAAGAAATAAAGATTCTTTGCTCAAAATGCAAACTTTCACCAAAATAATTTTTGCGACAGAAAATGGACACTTATAAAAGGCCAAAAATACCCGTAAATTTGAAATATACATAACAGCGATTCTTGAAGACACGTTACCTAACGAAAATTCCTTATTTTTATAAAAACGTTTGCACAGAAATTACAATGTTCTTCCTCCTTCTGGAGTAATACAAACAGACGAAACTAACCTTTATCAACATCGAGAGGAATCTCGACCAAAATGTTTATCCAAGCCACAAGCGCTAAGGCAGCCAGCCCACAAACAGATATCGCGGCAAAGTAGCGGCCAATCCACAACTTGTATTCAGTTGGATATTTCAAGGCTAGACATCTATCTAGTGTCAAAAATAGGGCTGAAGCTGAGGACATCTCGTAATAACAAGCGACCCAGAGGCCTAGCCATAAAAGGACATACGGTTCATAGTTTCCGCCTAAAATTGTGAATGAAAGGAAACTAATTGTAATTTAAATTGAAAACACGTTAAAGGCTGCCAAAGTCAATCGGCAAATTGATTGGACGTCTTTTATTTTCATTTGGCAAAATTTTTTACTATGAATTTTCTATTCCCTCAAGGTAGAGGGAATAATATGCTTCAAATGACCGGGATATTGTGATACTAGCAGTTATTCGATGTGCTGAGCACAGTTCGAAAGACATTTACTATATTATTTACATTTATTATATTTATTACACAAAGCGAGGTCTCACTCCCTCAGGGCATATCGCCCATTAAGGCTTCAAAATGCCATGGTTCTATAATCACTTCCTTGTTTACGGATGAGTTCAGTGGGAAACGTTTCTCGGAATTGATATCAGTACTTAACAGTATAAATATAGCAAAAAAGAACAAGACTTTGGTAGAGACCATCTCAACAAAAGGAGTCTAGGTCAAAATGCCCCCGGTCAAAATGCCCCCCGGTTAAAATGCCCCCGGTCAAAATGCCCCCCGGTCAAAATGCCCCCATTTTCAGAAAATCATCTAAAAAATGGCCAAAAAACATGAAAATGCCCATTTTTTTCGCTGAATTTGTATTTGTTGGGTTGTTTAGCCTAAGACTGCACAGCAGCCTAAGCCCCAAGCCTAAGACTAAGTCCGATTGTGCGTGCACAGCGTCCCCTTAAGCCTAATGGCTTGTTTGGCGCCTTATAAGGGTTGTTTAGCCTAACGTAAGGGTTGTTCGGGAGCTTAAGCCTAATCCGATTTAATGTGAAATACGATACAATTTTCATGCTTTTTGGCCATTTTTTATATGATTTTCTGAAAATGGGGGCATTTTGACCGGGGGCATTTTGACCGGGGGGGGGGCATTTTGACCCATTCCCTCAACAAAAGTGTTTAGCTTATTATGAACAACTCAACCCCTAAAATCGCAATTCCCTTTTGATTCCCATTTTCGATGCATTGGCCGGGCTGCCAAGAAATTTGAACTTTGTTAGGATATTATGTTCGATTTTAGGATCGATTTTGACAATGACATTTTCAATAGTTTTGTAATAATCATTTACCTGTGGGTGTCCAGTTTAGTACCAAATATGCGTGATATGGAATCGCAGAGGAGGCGCAAATTAAATGTAGCACGAGAAATATGCGAAGCGAAACAGAAAGTCTCCGGATTTTCACAGCCTTCGGATTAATGTGAAAGCAGTAAAGAAGGTGGAATATTAGAACTATGCCAACTAGATGACTAATAACAATTGCGGCATTCAGTCCGAGCGTCAAACAGTTTGCATACATTGGAACAGGTGATAGTGTTGGTAGTGGTGATGGAGTCGAAGGGGGTGACATAAAAATGGATTCGTAGTCTGAAAGCCGTCGATAGTGGTTAGGTATCTGTTGAAATAGTGATAATTAGGGCCCGGATTTCCCGGCCATTGTCCGCAAATGTCCGGAAATGTCCGAAAACAGTCATTTTGGAAGAAAAATTTCACGTTAAAAATGCAATAAAAAGGTCAATTGTCCGAAAACACACATTCCATGTCCGAAAATGGGAAAATTTTAGAGAAAATGTCCGAAAATGCGATTTTCATGTCCGGAAAATCCGGGCCCTAGTGATAATGGTAAAAGATATCACGTAGACGATAGCATACCTGAAACTCAAAATACTATACATGAAATTGTTCAGTGATTTTTTTTTTGATTGGATAATATTGATTTGCAGCTTCAGCCACCACGGAAACGGCCGACACATCGTGTTTTTATAGGTTTTTTATGCCTTTATATGATTGTGCTGTCATTTTTTAAGACACAATTTAAACGTCGTTTTTGTTATCGGAAAGTCAACTTGGGTATATTTCCCGAAGAGCAGGGCTAGTGTCCTGAGAGCATAGGAACTTCATTTCACTCCTAAAGTCGGCATATCGCTTAGGTTTGTATTAGATCGGTTTTCGTTATTTTCGCAACATGCTTCATTCGAAAATGACAAAATAGTGCCAACGTCACCTGACTGAACTGCGCTCTCGTTTTTCTTCAGAAATACATATGGAACATATTTTTCCAACAACGTGAGCTTAAGTGGATTAATTCGCAGAAAAGTGTGATATTAAATAGCAGCTCGTGGGAAAGATTTCTCGCAGAATGAAAATTTGTGCACAATTTACACAGTTTATTTTCTGGCACACAATTTTCTGGGGAAAATACAGCTTTTCTAATGCATATCCCACGGAGTAACCAAATATCACATTCTTCTAATCAAAGTGCAAGCTCAAATTCCAATAATCACTTTGTAACCATGTGATTTTTTAGCACA